TACATAGGTCACTCATATCTCTTTTAAACTTACTCAGATATGTTCTACCGTATATATAACCTGTCATGATTCTATTTAAAAGTTTTATATCGAACACATCTAACTTATGTCTCTTATCGCAAAACCACGGTATTTTCCTAATGTCGAAATTGATGTTTTCTGTAAAAAATTTTCCCTTGTCTTCACTAAGAAGTCTAAACTCCTGCTCCCATTCACTCCAGATAATGTTGCAAATTCTGCATAGCGCCTCACCCAGAGTTAAAACGTACTTGATCTCAAGTCCCTTACACACTGCTTCTTTTGCTGCCTCATCCGCTCTCTCATTGTAGCAAATGCCCACATGTCTCGGAGCCCATAAGAAAGTAACATTCTCACAAACCGACCTGAAAAGTGTTTCATGTATCTCGGCCACAATATAGTTAGACGTGTTCTTTTTAGCTAAAAGTCTAATAGCCGCCATACTGTCAGTGATAATAGCAAATGTTGTAACCTTTAGTCTTGTAAGGATTGTCACCGCCTTACTTATTGCCACAAGTTCTCCGAACGTGGACGTAAAAGACTCATTCAGTTTATACATATACGACCTTTTTTTTGAGGATCATGTATCGCCACTCCAACAGCAACACCAGTCACCGATGCATCAGTCGCCATCAGGTAAAAGCCTTCGTTTGCAGTCCTTTGATCCTTTCGAGGTAAATCGATTTTAGTTGTTCTTTATTAAAGTTTCTCTTTGACCCAACCAGACTCGACATTTCAACTCTCAGATTTGAGTGCTTTTTAAATGAGACTTTTGGGTTGATTTTATCAAAAATATTTTTAAACTTGTCGTAAACAAAATTGTAACTAGATTTACCAGTTCTACCACGGGCTAGACTTTCCCTTAATCTATCATTATACAGCAATTATTTGCCAAGCTCTCTCGCAGTAAGCCATTACCTAATGTGTACAGGGGTATTTGGAGGGAGGCCGAGGCACCTCCTCAAAGAGTCGTTCAAAATTGTTTGTATTTTCTTATTGTATCCCCGGGGGGCATCGGCATAAGTGGTGTTCCCAAACTCAACCTTATTTCTAACAAAGGATTTGTAGAAATTTATTGCAATTTTTTGTTCCAAACCTGCCTTAATAGTGGTTAGCTAAGTAATCAAGATTTTGCTTGAAGTTGCAACATTTTTTAACCTGTTCATATGTTCACCGATTGTTGCGTTCGCGCTGATAATCCTACCTAACCATTTAATCGACCAAACTTGCTCAATTTGTTCATCATTTAGCTT